GTGGCTCACCCCTCTCCTCATCAATCAGTGTGAGGTATGGTTTTCCGTTTGCTACCAGCTGGGAGATGTTTGGGAACATCACAGGCGACTTCCCAAAATTGAGTAATTCCTCACGCATATTATCCAGGCTAGGTTGCAGGCGCTTGACTTCTATGAACAAACGGTTGGCGCTCGTGGGCTCTCGCCCGCGTTTGGCATCGCAGGCAGGTCTCCATGCTGGAGCACAACCTTCCAAGCCCGCCAGTGACATCACTGAGAAGACGCATCGTGGAGATTGTCCTTGCGAGACTTGCATTGCAGCAAAGAGCACCCCGCGCGCTACGCCCAATTGCACAAACAGTCTAACAGTCCAACAGTCTGGCTCAGGGTTTTCTTGGCAACATGTATTTTACACATTGTTCAAGGATGTGCTGCCTTGTCTACGCCAGTGAATGATCAGTCCCAGGACCGACATGGCCATTCACAAGAAGCAAGTGGATGCGGCTTGCCGGCAAGCCGCCACGCTCTTTGGCGCGTTCCCCACCCACATCTAACCCCCAAAGATCGATAAGCTGTTTGCCAAACAGTCAAGAGTCAATAACTTGTGTGGCAACAAAATTGACGGTTCTGGACACCCCTGCTGAGTGGATGATGTTGCTAGGATGCATCGGAGCACACATTGACATGTTTACAGGGCCCCATGCGACATTCTAAGACACCGCCATGTCTCACACCCCGAAGATGCACGTGAAGCGATGGACGTGAATTCGTCCAAGCTGCCAAATCACACACTTTACTGTAGATGAATGATTGCTCCCCATGGGAGCACGGGGTTGTAAGTTCGCCAAGAATTCATGGCTATCCTTTGCTGGGGCTGAACTTCTACCTTAGTAAAGCTTCGACGCGACGTTCTTGGAATCGAAATGCAATCACTTTACACCACTGTTGCATTCCTCGGAACAAGTTGGCAATTTCGAGCAAGCTCGCTTCATGGCTCGGCATGGCTCGGCAATACCAGCCAATAGAACACTAAATCGGCATGGGCTGGTTGCGCCTTCCGCTCTCCCGGCCCAGGACATGGCCCGTGTGGTGGAGCGATGCCCCAACAGACAGGAGCCACGTTGAGAAAAATTGAGTACCATTGGCTGGGCCATCAGCAGGCCTGCCCTGCGCATTTGAAGGGGAAGTTTTCCTGGGTTCCCAGAATTCGCACCATTCAGGAGATAGACAAGCGGCAGCTGGAGCAGCCGCTCGCTTGGAATTCAGAGTCTTCACCAGAGAGTCTCCTCAGAACCCTTCATGAGAAAGCCCTTTCTTGCAGTTGTTCAATGGCACGTTGATTGGGCAAAGTGTTCAGTCACTTTGCCATGACTTGACACTTCAACTAAGTCCTTGTGCTGTCTACTTGTGCTGTAGGTGAGTTATTTTACTTTTCCGGTGTGCCGCTGCCAAAGCCACCCATGGTTGATTCTTTTGAACTTCTCCAAGCTGGAGCCCTTTCTTGGACATGTTTTTTTTCCCCAAGAATGGCAGGGGTCTTTTGTGTTCTGAGGTACTTGGTGCACACGGCCGACGTGGGCCACCCCTTCCGGCCGGTGCCCCAACACCAGGAGTGGGCGAGGCGGGTGAACGAGGAGTTCTTGGCGCAGGGGGACCGGGAGAAAGAGCTGGGCTTCACGCCCATCGAGCCCGCGATGCAAAAAAATCCCGCGGGTCTGAGCAACTACCCCCACCCAAAATGGGGGATGGGGAGGGTAGGGGGGGGGGGAAGAGGTTTAGCAAATACCTGGGTGAATATGTCACGACCTCACACGACCCAAAGCAGGCCGCATAGTTAATCGGACAGATGCAGGCAGCGAACTTGTCGATATCAACGTCCCTGGCAAGTTAGCCAAAGTTTGTTTTTTCTTTTTCGGGGAAGAACCTGAGCAGAACCTGAGCAGAGCTTTTTGGACGATCCTTGTAGTTGTGAGGGCGCTTGTCACGCAAGCGTGATAGGCAGAACAAGGCAGCCCCTTCCTGGTGGATGGCAACAGCTTTTGCACCGACCCTGAACTCTGTTCGAGGCAGGTAAAGAGTACAGACCCCCCAACTGTCAGATCAAGTGCCGGACTCCTTCCAGAAATCGCCGAGGGACAAAAGAACTTGCCGAGTAGTTACTCTAATTCTAGGTCCCCCAGTGGTGTACCCTTTTTTGGGGGAGGCTTCCCCTACTAAAATAGACTGCAGAAAAAGAGGGTACCCTTATTCTAACCTCTCTACTGAGTACTGGAGGACCTAGAACCTAGAATTGGACGGATGGATTGCCTCACAATGGGTGACATTGGTTCCCAGGTGGCAGGGCTTCATGTATTCTGGATTCGCTTGTTGCCGAGTTTCATTCTCACGAGCTCAAAGCTCACGGCTAAGGAGATGTTCGATCGGGAGAAAGCGCCCCCACTGCCTAAGAACCAGATGGGCTTCTTGCAGTTTGTCGCCGCCTGAGATGCGGTTCCAGCATGACTCCCACACGGCTGAGTTCTGCCCAGAGGTTACAAACTCTCCCAAGCCCATGAAATGCAAGTTGGTGCCCTCAGGCTGCCTTTCCACCATGCTCAGGCTGCATGGGTGATTCGGGACTCGGCCTTTTCATGGACAATAGCTTGTAGATTGGCCTCAGATCCAAACCCAGTTGCACGAAGCAGCTAGCTTTGTGCAAATTATCCAGCTGAGTGTTTGATCAACGAGCCGAGCTTCAACCCAAACATGTTGTCCAAATGAACAACTCAGATGAGCCCAAGCTCGCGCTGAACAACGATCAGCGTTCCCCTTGACATCCACCTTTCATATTCTGTGTATATATATATATAGATATATCGCATAGATCCCCTGTGCTACCCTGGCATGTCATTTATGTCTCCCTGGGCACCGATTTCAAGGTGGCTTCTTTCAGGGCGGGTCTTGGGGTCGGCTTCTTGAAGAAAAAAGCATCCAGTGGCAGGGTTCTACCTTTTTTGACCACCCCCCCCCCAAAAAAAAAAAAAAAACAAGATGTCCAGAGCCATGCGAAGCCCCATGGGCTTTGAGTCTACCTGGTGGGATCCCAGGTCATCCAGCCGCTCTGGAAGCCCATGGAGGCGCTCCTGGACGCCAAGTCCAAGCCCGCCTGCCTCTTCCTCCAGCGGAACATCCGGGCCGCTGGCCGCAACGGTGTGCGAACCCGGAGAAAGAAAGGCTCCGGAACTGGGAGATAAGTTTCCTCGAAACGAAAAAATGGAGAAGACATCAAAAAGGAAAAATGGAAAAGATAGGAAGATGACAACCATCTTTAAAAAAAGGTGGGAACTGTGCGCCAAAAGGCACCCCAGGCAAAAGTCGGAAGCTGGAAAATGGTGACTGGTCAAAAGTGGAAGCCCTTTTTGTACATGGTACTGCCAGTTTAGCTGGTAGTAAAGTATGGCATGCTTCAAGCCTTGAATGACCATTGGCTGAAGTGGTGCGTCTTGGGAATCCGGCGCATCCGGTTGTGCAAGCACTAAACACTTTGCAGATGTCACACTGTGTGTGTGTGTTGTGGTTTGAGTGTGTGTGTGTGTAAGGGGTGGGTGCGTGCGTGGTGTGGTGTTGCTTGCGCCTTGTCCTGAAAGCTGGCCTCCAAGCGAGGTTGTGAGCACAAAAGTGGGGGTGACGGTGTCCTTCTCTCGACGAAATGGGGGGGCGGGGGCAGGTTCTGCGGGGCACAGCGGGGGTTCAACTCAATACTGTACTCAATTGGTGTAAGGTTCCAATTTCATTCACTTTGTGTAATGCCGTCTTGACTGGCCTAATGCAGGCTCATCCCTGTTGATTCTGAGATTGGCAGTGTTTCCCCACGAAGTTGTCGGAAACCGGGCAGTACCTGCTGACTGGCGGCAACCCTTGCCTTGAGCTCTGCATTGATTGAGGCTTGGCAGGACGAGATCAGCGCTGCGTGCTTTAGCTGCACTGGCCCAAGCACCTTTGAAGGGTCAGGCGAAAGAAGGAGCCGAATTTTGGAAATGTTATCTTGGTTGAAAAAGTTATGTAGCACTTGAGAAGTCCTACATTATGCAGCACGTTCGAAAAGAAGCCTCCAAAAAGAAGCATCCAAAAAAGTTCTCTAAGAGGATCAAGTCATCGAGGCTGAAGTGACCAGCACTGGACGTTTACCATCGTATAGGTAGTCGTACGCCTGATTTGTCTTACAAGTTGTGTGGCTGCCTTCAGCTGAGCATTTGTACAATCTGTTCGTGCAAGCCTGACCGAGGAGGGAGGTTGAGAAGTCGGAGGAGCCTTCAAACTCTGAGCCCAGTACAGCTTGACGGCTCCTTCAGCAATTCTTCCAAACCTTTCCTGCGGCACAGCGCCGACCCATTCCCAAGCATAATGATCTATGTTTGGCGACCAGTCTGGCCCAAAAGCCAACTGGACTCGCAGCCAGCGCGCGAGCTGCTGAAGCTTGCCGGCTTGCTGTGTTAACATTAAAAGGCCATGGAGCCAAAGATATCACGTGTCTCAGCACAGTTGCCCAGAAATGCCAAAGGCATGTGGCAGCATTCCCCCGCCACTTGGCTGTCGAAGACTGCCAGGCACAAGTCTTTTGACAGGCATATCTTCTCGCCCGGAGTGTCAGCTCAAACGCCGGTGCGGCGAGAGAGCCGCCCACAGGACAAATTGGATTTGGACAGGAGTTGCCTCTCTGGCCAGTTTTCGTCCTGTAGGTAATCTGGCGGCTTTAGCTTGGTGCAAAGCTCCACCACTTAGAAGAGCCCAGCCGCAGTTGGACAGCCAACGGTGTTGGCAGTTTCACCCATGCCGGCCTAGGGAGTGGCCTCTTGACTTGGGTCAAGGGGTGGCTAGGGTTCTCACCAAGAAGTGGCATGAAAATAAGTCGGTGGAGAGTTTGTTGGCGAAAGGCTGTATCACAAGTCTACAGAGGTATGTCTCTGATCAGTTGGGTTTGCCCCCACGCCCTATGCCCAAAACAAGCACAAAGAAACGAGGCGCGTTTGGCCGACGCTCAGGCAAGGTGAAGGCGCTGGGACTTCTCAAGAAGGACTCGTTCAGCCCCGGACTCGGAACACGGGACTTGCTTGCACCCTTGAGCTCCTTGGTGTGTGCGTGTGTGTGCCTGTCCCTCAAGCAAGGGTAGAGCTTTGCATGATTGAGAGATCCCAAGTGAAATCAAGCAATGCGACTGGTCAGGCCCGCTAGCCTCGTTCAAAAATGGCGTGAACCTGTATGAACGTGTCGACTGCGTCAAATCACGCCGAAAGATGCCCAGTTCAGTTTCATGAGATATTGATAAACATTTGGTGAAGGAATGCCAGCCTGTCAGTGCATCCACATACGCAGACTGAGCTTGCATCCAGACAGGTTGAGGGCGTGGTGAAGACTTGTCGGGCATCTTGCTTGTCATGCATGACAGGTCTCCAAGCAAACCATGCCTGCACATAGCATGCTGTGTTGGAGCGCCAGGCGCTTGTTCATTGCCATTGTTCGATGATTGTTGCTTGGCCGTAAATTCTTGAGCTTGCTGGTTCTGTAGACTCAGATCGCATGGGAACGGAGGACGGTAACGCTGAGAGCAGTCACAGATATGACTGCGCAGAGCAAAGACGCCGCCGCACGAAGCGCGGACCCCGCTGGGGCTTCCTACAATAGATTCCTTTACAGTATTCGTCCGTTGACCTCTCAGCTGTCCGTGCTGCTTTCACCGGCTTCCCCGAAGTTCGTGGCAGAAAAGGGCCGTTCGTTTGGAGCTTGCCTGCCATTGAGGCGAGGAAGCCTCAGGCATGCTTCTGAGCAGCAGCCTTAGCTGTTAGTCCTGCCAATCGCGTCATGACAGTATGTGTTGTGGGTTGTACTTGGGAGACGTGCTGGGGTTGATTACCTGGCATTTTTGACCAGTGACCAGTCGTGGGTTGGGGTTGTGGCGCGGGGCTTACAACATCAGGCTTCTATCCTCGGGAGCTAGATGCCAGACCAGCATTACAAGGCAGTGGATTGGGCAGTGTGTGTGTGTGTGTTGCAATGGCAGGCATTCGTTTTGGAATTACTTTGCGGGCACATTGGCCATTGGATTTACTGGTTCGCATCCTATCCTACAGCTTCGCCATCACCAGCTGCGCTGGTTGGCTGCAGGGGTTGCTCCACCCACCCACTCACTCACCCTGGCATGCGCCTGTGCGCTTGTGGTACTTGCTTAGTTGAGTGCGCGCGCTTTTGCGCCGCGCGGGGCGCACACCCAACGCCAATCAGACGAAGACTGCATCCCCGGCATCCGCTCTCAGCCCTATGGTATTCGCGGTGTTTCCGCACAGTGGCGGCGGCCCGCTTTCGCAGCAACCCCGCTCACTGAATGGCACACGCTGGCTATGTCCGCCCAACGTCAGATTCTACTCTTAGGGCGCCAATTTTTGAGGCTTTGCACGACGCAGGGGACGCAAGGGATGCAAGGGATGCTGAAGAGTCCGGATGCTGGTGATGCAGGAATGCTGGGTACGATGGTGAAGTTGGCGAGGATGTAGAGGATGTTGGCGGGGATGCTGGCGACAGTCGGTGGCGATTCGCACGGCATTTACAGGGTTTTTGAAGGTTGGGCGCCGTGCAGTCGCAGGGCTAGGGATGTCGGGGATGTTTTGGGATCCAACTGTTTGGGCTGGCCTGTGTCCGGGTGATGCAGGGGATGCTGAGGAGGAGCTTCTGGTGCAACAAAACACGTCAGCGATATACCCTTGCGGGTAGGGTTGCGCTCGCTCTTCGAGCTCGAAGACACACAGCGCAGCTGGATTTGCATTATCCGTGGACTTCATGGAGCGCACACAAAGCTCACGGGTTGTTTTGTTGCCACATACGCCATCATTCCGGCCCTTGGGCCTTGCGTCGTCTTGACACGAACAAGGCGTTATAGATTTGTTGATTTTGTGTTTTTGTACGCCGGCAAGCCCGGCAGCGCTGCACCAAAACCCGGTTTTCCTTGCGTTCCAGGCCTCATACAGCGAGCGCATGCAAAGCAGGACAAGGCGTTGGCAGAGGCGCGATACAAGCCCGATGGCCTGGTGTGATCCCAAAATGATCCAAAATGCTAACCTTTTGAAGCAGATGGCCCAAGCAAATGAGCTGTTCAAATGACTTGGGTGGGTGCTCAGCAAAGCTCATTTGTTAAGAATGAGTCTGTGCGCAGATTGCCTTGACCAGCTAGGGGGCTTGCATGGTCCATATTTGGCAGTTTGATGCTGGTTGCGAGCGACGTATGGGCAACCACGAGGTCTTCCCGTGCCGATTTTGCATCCTTTCCGTTTCCAGGCAAAGCTGGAGGAAGCGATGCAGCACGTCGCCCAGCCAGAGCCCCGTCCATGTCGGACGCATGCGCTTGACAGCTCGAACGAGCCGCACAACGATGGAAGGTACAAGTCACACATTGAGCGACGCGGTTACATTTTTGCGCAGGTGCATGAGAGCATGTTTGCAGTTTGCGTTTCAACGTTACTATGCAAGTCATGTGCATTTAGTGGTGTACGTAGGTAGTTTATATTTTATGCGCCACTGCCCCCGTCTCTAAACAGGCAATGGGGTTGCATAGTTGTTGCCATTCCTCGAGTTGTTGCACTGCTGCCAAGTTAAAGTTGACATCAAGCTGCATCAAGCGGCAAATGGCATGGTTTTTCATGACATGTCCATACGGCACACTAGAAATTTCGACCGCAGGAATACAACAGGACTGGTAACCGGTAGTGAAGTAGAAATGGCATGTTTGCCAGCATAAGCAGCCTGCATTCGAGCTGGTGCTGCTGTCCACATGCTCAGAGCTGCGAGACTGCGAGGAAATGTCAGAATGGCTGCACTAGCATACTGTCGCCTTGGAACAGATCACATTGATCACATTACTGCCAGGATCTGCCAGCATCTTGAATCACTAACGCTGTCATGTTTAGAACTTGCTGTGCAGCTTGGCGGCGGCTGCAGCTCAGCTCTTGCACGAAAAATCGGGGACAGCTGCGAACATTAAGCGGAGCTGCTGCCGCTGGCACATAGCTCCAAAGGCAGGCGTGTTGTAAAGCTGTGACGTTTCGTGCTACCGATCAGCTTCATTTGATTGCCAAGGTGGTGAGAATCCCTTTGAAAGCTGAGCTTTGCAAATGTGCAACTAATGCTAGCTAGAAAACGTTTGGGTCCCAAGCATGCATCCCAGAAACAGACGTGAGTTTTAAGCCCACTGGGGCTGGGCCGAAACAGCTCAGGCCGAAGTTGCTGCGTTGTTTTGCCAAATCTGACATGAGCAATTTTGCGCATGTTACAGGGCAAAATTGTGGGCTCCATGCCACCCTGTCACCAGCCACAATCAGTGCCTGTTGCTTGCTTTCATTCCCACCAAGTTGCTTGAGACCCGTCTCTAACCATGAAAACAGAATCCTAGCCACGAAAAATTGGGCTAGCGTAAAAAGAGCATGTGCGCAAAGACATGTTCAAAAAATCCTTCACACGTTCGGTAAACAATAAGGCGTGTTTTTTGTTGTGAGTCGGGGCCTCCAACTCCTTTGCATTGCGTAGACTACTTTGCCAAAAACCGCAAAACACTTGTTGCCGCAGAGTTTCTTGCTTCCTGTCCTTCCCTTTCCTTTGTGGCTAGTTTGTTTTCTTTGTTTGTTTTTCCCGAGCCAAGCAAAGGCAGCTGCGTGGCTTAGTTATTTTGATCCTTTTCCAAAGCGCTGAAGGGCTAGGTGTTTGCAACTTGTTTACCACCAAGTTGGTTGATGTTGGCTGGACGGTGAGCATGTCAATTAGTTGTTTCAATTTCGGTCTTTTGGCGTGCCAGACATGTTTTCGTCACGCAGTTGCTGTGTACACCCAATTATGTCTATGTTTGCTGTTTGCATTTTTGCCAGAGCTGCCATGTACTAGGCAGTGGAAAAGGCACGATGGTCAACAAAGCTTTCCAAGCATGCATAACCGAAAGCACCAAGAGAAACAGCAGACTCAGACTTTACGAGATGCAATCTGCAGAACCAACATGGACGCAGGTGCACGCATGTCCTTTCTTGCACTAAGTGGACCCACGGTTTACCAATCACGAAGGTCCAACGTCAGCGCCAAGGTGTCAATTGACCAACATCATTCAGATTCAGCCGGGGGCTGAGCCAAGGCCTTTAATGCAGCGCACTTCAAGTTCAAAGTGACCGTTCAGACATATGTCCATACATCAATGAACACAACTGTGGGGAGGTTCATGATTTTTGGAGGTTATTTGTTTGCAACATGGCCATCCAGAGTCTGCGGCCCTCAGACATTTGGGCATGAGCCTACTGGGATTGAGTTGTTTCTTGGTCACATCGTGCGTGCGGGTTGGCATTTCAACCGCTGGCTTTTGCCATTTGAGCTCAGGCAGTGCAGCGCGCTACTTCAAGAAGCCATGCAACGAGGAGAAGAAGCCGGCGGCTCCTTCGCACTTGGACGTCAATTGGACACAATGCGCGCTGAAAGATCCCAGGTGCTTCGCCCGTTCTGCTCTACACGGCGGAGGACGTCGCTGAAGTGGATCCCCCCCCCCCCAAAAAAAAAAGGGGGTGGAGATCGGTCTCCTGCTCTAATTGAACTTCAGGCCTGTGAAGTGCGCTGTTGGGTATTCAGGTCCGAGCTCGAGACTCGAAGCCATAGCTCCCCCAGTGCCCTTTCACCCTGTTTTGGGTGAGGGTTCCCCGACTAAAATAGACTACAGAAAAAAGTTGGTGCCCTTACTCTAACCTCTCTACTGGAGGACCTAGATACGCGTCGTTTTGCCCATGCCGTTGGCAAAGCGCAGGAGCTCTTGAAGGATCTAAAGGACCGCAAGGCCTGCGTGTACGGATCAGCGAATGCATCACACGGGCGCCTTTGACTTCAAAAGATATGCTTGCCTGTCTTGAAATGCGAAAATCGTATCCCGAAAACCACAGCAACTTGGGTCCACCAAATTTCATGATTATACTTCCCCTGCGTTGTGGCTCACTCGAAGCAGGCTCGCTTCGACGAGTTCCACGCGGAAAGGCGAGGAGAAGCATTCATTCTCGGCTGCTTTTGGCAGCTCATCAGCTTTTGGCCTGAGCTTGACACATGAGATTCACGTCAAAATGCATTAGTCCTGAGGCCATTGCCTGTGGAAGGAAAGACTCATTTGGGAACTTGAACGCATATTGACAACCTTGCACCACAAAACGTGTGGCTAAATAGTGTGCTTTCAGGGCAAAGGTCCCGCACCTGCCATTCTGTTGCATTTAGTTTTGCAACGAGGCATTGAAGCCTTCAGACACACAAGCATCCCTGGGCCCGAAGCGCTGGCACAGTACAGCAACACTGCAAAAAAACTTCTTGCCTGATGGCCATCGACATTTTGAGGAGCATGTTCTTCCGGCCATTCCAGCGCATGAAATCCTTGCTTTGGACGAACGTTTGCCTTTTGAAAGCCATGTAAAGGCGATGAAGGAAATTGGCAAGGGTCCATAAGGGTCCTGCGTGCAAGCCTTCTAAGATCGCAGCAGTTGGCAGGATAGCTGCGTGGCACCATCTGCAACAATCCACCCACACCCTATACGCCAGTGTGTCGCTGGGAGCTCAGCGTGTCAGATGCAGCCGGACTGTTTCTTTCGAGAAACCCGGCGGAGTCTTCCGGCGGAACAGTTTCCTGTTGACTCCAAAGCTGCGGGGCATTGCGGACAGCTCGAGGGAGGGCTTGGTGTGTCAAGAACGGCTGCCCATGCAGATGGCGGAAGCTCACGCGAGACCAGTCAGTGACATTGCATTGCTTCGGAAGGGCAACAGGGCGAGACTTCTTGAGCTTTGCTCCCGGGATTTCACGTAGCCCAAGTCACATCGTTAAATTGGCAGGGCATGGGCATTGCTTGGCTCCCCCCCCGACACTTGCTCGTTCTTTTATTTGTTTTAGAAGCTTCCATGTATGAAATTGTGTCCCATCTTTTTCAGGAGCACCTGCGCGCGGCTCAAGTGCAACAGCCCTGATTCTGCAGGGTTGAACACATCCGAGCCAAGGCAAAACTTGAAGGACAAGAAAGAGCTTCAGGCGGCCTTGGCCAAGAGGCGCGGGCTGAAGTGCACAGACATTGGTCGGCAACCAGGACCTGCTCCAATGAGAAACGTTGTCTTGGGTGGCCCCCTTGCAAGCACCACAAAGTGTAGGCCTCAAGGGATTCGTGATGAACACTCATGCAGACTCAGAGTGGTCCATTGATCAAAGACATTGAAGGCCAGGCTCACAAGCAACTGTCGCAACACGTTGATTCAATAGTTCCGCCGTTGCTTCACAATTCGCATATTCCAGCAGATCAGCAGTGATATGCTTGGGCCCTAGTGGCCGAGCCAACAACACCATACCGTGCCAACAACAGGAAGTCCATGGCCATTGTTTGGGATGTTGAGGCGCAACCGAACAGCGGCCCAAGCTGTTAACCATCCCAGGAGCCCAAAGGTGCCAAGCAAGGAGCCCAGAGACGTTTGTTTTTTTGGTGGACCTGTGACCCCTGCATCCTTTCTGCACCGCAGAGAGGGAGTTTCCTTTGATCTTGGTTTTATTCTTGTCCCACTGGCAATTGTCCAGCTTGTTTGTCCTGCTTGTTTGGCCATTCGTTAATCTCCCTCGCATGCTGTGATGTTTGTGCCTCTCCCGATGTTTCTGACCATGTTCTGGTTTTTTGTCCCGCTTGTTGATTGCCTATGTTTTGTTTGCGTGCTCGCCTTGTGTAGGCCAGCTTGATATGCTGGAGCTCGATTTCACCCGCTTTCACCATGATGCATGGGTTGATCCGTGCTGGCTGCGCGGGTCCACCTGGTGCACTCAGGTGGCTTCAAAGAGGAATTGCCAGTTGTCACTTGCACGGTGAGCAAGAGCCAGCGCCCAAGCTCGATTCGGATCTCAAGGCATGAAGGAGACACCAGATCGGACGAAAGGCACCCGCACAAGATGATCTCTTTGGGATACATTTGGAAGCCCTTCATTTGCTCAAAATGTCCTGGATACAGGGGCTGGGCCAGTTCGCCAAGAGTCGCCCATAGCACCCGGTCACAAAAAAAGCAGACACCTCCCATTTTTGCCAGAGGCATTGGAGCCACGGCCCCCTAGTGGCATTGGAACCACAGCCCCATAGAAACATTGGAGCCAGAGCCCTGGTGCCGAGGCCTGTCAGCCACCCTAGACCACTTCCTGGAAATTGGCTTGGCAGCCACCGAGGACGTGCAGGCCAGGGGCTGAACATATGCAATGAGGCTTGAAACCCGTGGAAACCGCTTTCAAACTTGGCTTTCGCCTGACCGGCATGGTCCATGAAGTTTGGTGATGCAAGAAGGGGTTATCCCAACTACAGAATCCTCGGTCTTGCTTTGCACCATTTTTTTGGCGCACTGCCCAAGAGTGTTGCTTGCTCGGTCGTTCCGCTCGAGCGACGGTCAAATCATATTTTCATGTATTGCCGTGTGGCTCCCAACCCGCCGGGCCTCCAACAAAGAAGGTGAACAAGCAAGACTGGCAATCCTTGCCACCTTTTGCCCGTGAGGTGACCACAGCTCAAAACAATGTCCAATCTGCGCCCTTTTGACCGGGTTTGCCGCCTCCCCATTATCACGAGCTTGGTTTAGTTCGCACCATTGACCTAGCTATTGCAGCTGGGTGTTGCACCCCTTTGTGCCCGCAGATCCGGTTGCCAGAGCTGTTTTTTGCAGTAATAACACGCACGAAATATGGAGGCTTGACTGCTCCTTGCACTTCATGTACTTTCCCCCTGCTTTCCCTTTGTTGCATGCCAAGCATCACAGACAAGTGATGAATTTAGCAGACAAAATGGCAAGCGTCCAGGAAAACCCCGCAGAGAATCTGAACGCAACAGAGCTTCAGCGACGGTAAATAAAAGGCGGGCGTCCTCACGCTAGCAGAACCGATGTAACACGTTCAACAACTGCGGGCTAGTTGATCAGTTACATCAGCGTGCACAGGGCGTCCCATGAGTTAACGGCACGTTTTGCAGCCTGAAGGCGAGCCAACCGTCCAACCGTTCAACCGCAGCTCCAGCCACAAGACATGGACCATCCTTTGAGGCTCTGAAATGGCAGGGTTCCGGACGGCAGTTCGTTGCCAGGCGGAAACGGAGAACTTGAACGAGCTGCTCACTCACGTGGCGGCGGACTTGGCCATTGAAGGCCTCGCTTGGGTTCCAAAGCGGTGATGAGAATATCCCATGAGAAGCCCATGGCTTGGGAATCGATCTGAGACTGGGATTATGTAATCAGTGCCTCACATCGGAGCCAGAGCCGAGATTTTTGGCCCTCCGCTTTTGTGGCTCAGGGGCTTTTCGTGTGGGAGACGTGCTGTTCCATGCAACCGTGACACGGTTCATTCCCCAGACCTGGTGTTTCTAGTTGGGAGCCAACACAAATGACAGGACATCACAGTCACCATGTAAAAAAGGCAAGCTGGTTCGGCACCAAGGCTGGTCTCAACGCATTCTTCCAATTGCCCACACCCACGGATGTTGGGGTCTCAGACCTGAGCTTTGCCTCAAGGTGAGGAACTACTTTCGGGAGCGAGTGTCGTATGTATGTGTGTGTGTGTGCTTCGGCCAGTCGTTTGGTCGACTCGTTGGTGCTGAGCCCTGAGAAGATCGCTGAGCAAAGAAGGAGCACCACGCCTTGAGGTCTTCCAACTTCACGACCGCAAGAATGACTTGGCAGGCCTGAGGGATTGGACACATGGATGCCCACAAGAGAAGAGTCTCTGAAAGGGACCGGCACCACCAACACTCCAGATTCCTAAGGGAGGAACCCGAGAGCGTGGTTTGCAATAAAGCATGGCTCCACAAAAATTCAGAGCACTTCTGTAGGAGGAGGTTGCAGCATGGAAAAGGGTTCCGGAGTAGCCCCAGAACCAGGGGTGATATGTCACGCTATAAGTGGCTTGCAAGAATGCGCTGAGCCTTATTCGCGTTATTGCTGAAATCGGTGGGTTGTTTTTTCCACGGTTATTCGCTCTACCCTGTTCAGCACGAATCAATTCCCGTGGAGAATGGCAAGCCAATGGTGACAAGACCAGGGGGCTTGGGGGGTTCTTTGCCTCAAGGCCTGCTTCCACGCTTTGCCGAGCTCATTGGATCAGCAAGCCCGCCTGTAGGTGGGGGCGAGATGATGATTGCAGAAAGGATCTCAGTTGTGAAGGCACTTGCCGAGGTCTCCCCTGGGCATAGAAAATGAATCAACAATGATTGGCTCCGGGTATTGAATACGGCTCCTTCAAGAAGCAATTTGCTGTTGGGCCTAGCACGTCCAACTGCTTCCTTTAGTCACTTTGAAGATGGCTATCATGGCTCTTGTTTTAGGAGCTTTTGTGTCTTTCAACGCGGGTAGTCTCAAAAGCTGTCTTCGAAGAAGCTTTGCCTGACTTGAGGTTTGCACTTGGGGCTGAAGTGGGTGACAACAAAAGTTGGCCTGACGCTCGAAAAATGGTGGGGTGGTCTAGCAGCGGGGTACGGGTGCATTTTGCCCATTTTGAAAAATAGCCCTGCCCGAACTGTTTTGCCACACGCTGACGTTTCACATTGCCCGGACGCATGCGTTGCCGCTTGTTTAGACGTTCCTGGTTGTAAAGGCTGGGCTGGTTTCCCAACGCCGGGACAGGTTGGCCGCAAATTGCTGTGCAGGGCCAGCGTTAGGACTTTGAAGGGCTAAGCTCCGACTAGGGCCCCGGTAGCCAACTTGCAAGCTCGGCTACAGAAAGTAAACCCCGACAACCCTAAACCTAAACCCTAACAAGCCTAAACCTTCGCCCTAAAGACCTAAACGCTAGACCTAAGCCCTAAGCCTAAACCCTAAGCCGAACGGGTCCTGCGGGGCGGTACGGCCTGGACATGATGTTCCAAGTTCAAAGGCGTTGGGGGGGGTGGGGATGATACCCACAAAGAGGATTTGTTCAGCCTGACAAGACAGCTTTGACACTCCTGGCAAACGGTTCCAGCTTTCGGTCGCGGGTCTTCCCACGAGTCCCGAGTGAGTATTGGGGAGTCAAACGAAAACGTGCTCCTCTTGTGGGTACAGTGTAGCATGAACTTGCCATGAGGAGAAGTGACTCTTTGGATTCGGTTTGTTCTTTCGAGATCGGAAGCACGTCGAGCAACCGAACAGACTGCATCGTGCCATTCTAAACCGGCAGGTCCGATTCCAGCCTTGCTCAAGGAGACGCCGTTCTTGGGAAGATTGCAGGGGTTGTGTTGAAGTTTGGTCCCGGCTCAACAAGGCGGTGTTGGACCATGCTGGGCGCGTACCGATTGAGATTCGGCGAGCAGGAACTCACGTAGAAAAGAGTGTTGCAAGGCTCTGGTGCTTGTGTCGACACATGCCAGTGCACAGGATTGCTGCCGTGACGCTGAAAAGCTGCTTGAGTGCTGGGAGAAGATTGTCTTGGAGGACGGCTCGGACTGTGTAGGCTTTGTTTGATGCACTGGGCAAGATCCCAGCGGTTGAAACCTGCCGTTTGCAATACATAACACCCACCACGCGGCTGGGTCTGAGAGGTTGGCAGAAGGCTGTTGTCCTTTCTTTTGTGCGTTGCTGCCTTGCAAAGGCTGCTTCCCTTCTCTTGGAAGCAAGGCAGCCTCCAAAACCCGCAAGGCAGCCTCTGAAAAGCTATTGCCTTAAGAGCCTCCTCCGCAAATCACATAAGTAAGCGGAAACAGGGAGAGGGAGAGGCGTAAGACAAAGCTAAGCAGCTTCGTGTTTTCGGCCGTGCATGAGATGTGAGGGGCGAGGAAGAGCATGACGTGGCTTTCGCCAGGCCATGCCGAAGGGCCTTCACCAGGTGCTTGAAACGGGGTTGCAAGCGCATCAGTTCTGGCCGGATGCACGCGCACTGAAGGTATGGAAACCTTTGACCCTAGGCTCAGAAGTTTTTTGGAGCTAGTTCCAGCACATGTGCTCAAATCGCTGAAGTTGTTGCAGTCAGGACTCTGTCAAAGTGTTCTGATTGAGATGCTTCTTTATTAGGAGAAAAGCCGGGCTTTGGCAGATTCGGACGGGACTTTTGTGTATGCCGCTAGCATTTGGGCATACATGTTGGTGTTTGCCTTTTATGGAATGGAGATTGTACGGATGGTCATCTTCCTAGTTGTGCCGAGTCTATCCCATGGCTTGGGTTCCGCTTCCAGGCCATCCTGTCGGGATCCAGCGAGCTGGTGGAATGCTGCCTTTTCGCAACTTGACTGCAGTGGGGTGCAAGCACTGGCCTACGGTGTGCGGGCCAGCAGGCATTGACTTTTGAGTGCCGCGATTTCAGGAAGGTTGTTTGATTGCACCTGATTGCTGTTCTTGTAGCTTTGCGCAGCCAAAACGCTTTCCCTCCGAGAGAAAGGTAAAAAGCAACTTGTTGCGTTTACCGAACGATCTTTCCCTTGCATGTTCACAATTGAAATGTCGATTTTAACAGAAACCAACGTCAACCCACATTACTTTGGTGCCAGCACCACGCTGGTATCAGAACACGTTTGCTTGCGGCTGGCAAGGTGTGTGGTGACAAGTCCTCCGTCCTTGCGCAAGTACGGGATGAGTACAATGGCGGCGCCGTGCACGTGGCGGCTAAGCATGGCCATTGGCAAGTGATTGAGGCGCCAGATGGCGCAGAGCCGCACTTTCAGAGGGCTTCGATTTATTGGCGTATCCCTTTGCTTGATGCCAACTCGGAGAAGAGAAAAATGTGCAAACGTTCGGCCCAATACCCTGAAGGTCGTGATCGCAAATGGAGCTGATGCGCATTCTGCGAACAGCATCCAGTTGCTTAGCTGCAAGCCAACCACAGCCCAAGATGAAAAAGTTGAGAGACTCATGTTGCTTCTGGAAATCCAAAATGTGCGTGTAATTCTGACATGTTGAAATGAGACGGGCTCATGGGCTTAAGGCAGTCAGCCCTTGATGTTGCAATTGCCCGTGCCTGAGACTTTGCGACACAAATCCTACCGCTGGACTTTCAACGTCAGAGCATCATCATGAAATGATGTTCCATGGCTTGTTACTGTACGATGTCCTTTCGTGCAGCAGAAGCGCGCCGTGCCAGGAAGCCTTACACAAGTCAAACGCTGAAATTGATCCAGATGTTGAGGCTGGAACTGCTCCAGGGTGGTTCCTAAGGGCCACAACGTGAAGTCATTGGGCGCCATTAATTGGTTTCCTTTGGTTTCTCGTGATCATTCATGATGAGATCCGGGAGGCAAGCAATGAGACGCTGATTGCCTTGAGCTGGGTAGCATCGCAAACCAAAAGGCATGCCACATTGCTGCAAAGCCACCACGACATTGTCTTACTGCGATAACGGGCCATCCATCATGCTCTGAGATGGCTGCATGATTGAAAATGAGTATTATATGTGTATAACAGCGCTTTGGATAGCTCATCACGATGAGGTAGCAAGGCTCCTGCGTCCCTGACTGACTTTGCTTTGCGCCAGTTGACACGGCGGCTGCAAGAAACAATCGACTTCCTGGATCGAAAGCATCATGTCATCAGCTACGAATATGTGCCATGGCCGCAGTCAACAGTTTGCTTTGCCGCCATGACCGGAAGGACCGGTTTTTGCAATGCTTTCCCTGAAAACAGTTATGAGCTCACTTGCTTGCTCATTGGCAACTTAGTTCGGCGGAGCTCAATGACCTGAAGGCATATTGATTGTTTGTCACCAAGAGCACAATGTTGGTCCGGTAGCCCAATAAATGATTCTCCTGTTTGCTGGCAAAGGGCTAGTTGAGGCGTAGGTTCCTCAGAGTGAGTCAGAGCTGTTTGGCTTTTGATGTGCAAAGAGGCATGTCAATGTGTGCTATCCCTAGCGCAATGAGTCCAGAGTTGTTGGAGAATGCTTCCCAGTGCCTTTGTCGCTGTGTGGGCTGTCGGTCCATTGCCTGCAGCGCTCGCACTCCCGCACAGCCAAGGTGAAGTACCAAAAGCGCAACGTCTGGTTCAAGCGCCCTGAGACGATGCTGAAGTGGCTGAGGTTGAAGCAGCTGCAGCTGTGACAGCACTAAAGAGAGAATCTTCACTGCGCTGGGCACCACCAAAATGCCCAAATCAAGAGGTCAGGACAGGCTAGGACATCCCGAAAGGGGTGGTCACTCAGCATTCCTGCGAGTTGGCTACTCTTGATGAGCTCGTGAATCCAAGATATGATGAGTTTGCTGCTACGCTCAGAGACATCTAGTACACACATACAGATATACAAGTGCGTGTGTGTGTGTTTTGTCGTATGAGTCGTATGCGTGTGTGCCTTATTGGCACCAAGCTCCGTTCAACGTGTTGTGTGTTCTCGTTTTGTGTCGAGAATGAAGGCCTGTGAGCGCACAGGGTTTCCCTTAATATTCTTGGCGTTGTCCTTGTGCTTTTAAAGCCTTTTGTGATGTCACCCTGTCGGATTCGTACTGCATTTGCTTTTCACAAACCTGGCCATTGAACGCGCTGGTTGCATGGGATCCTGGGGCCCCAGAGTGCACAGCAACGCTGAGGTTGGAGCATCATTTCGAGAACTTAAAGAAAGCCTTTCTCGAGATTGATACCAATCACTCGGGCGGCATTGCGCCGCTGGCTGGTCTTCAGCGCCTTTTCCTTTGCAGCAAATGGGTGGCAAAAACACTGCAAAAGCGCTACGCAAGAGTCATTTGTGATGTTGCTATTGTTGCTTGAGTTGCTGCTTGGTAACTTCACTGGCCCCCTGTGCTCCAGTCATGGTCAACCCAGGCATGAATCTGATGTTACACGAAAAACATGCATGAAGCTCATTACATTTCTTTGTGGTGCTGCTATTTGTGGTACCTGAGTCTTTTTGGAACGGCCAGGTGAAGTACGAGTGGGAGGCCATGTTTGGTTCCGAGGGTCAGGCGAAAGACGCTCTGGCCGCTGCAGACCTGGAGTCCCACGACGTCTTCGGCATGCCGGGGCCCCACGGAACATGAGGTCCTATGTCTCTTTGATTCGGGACATCTTTGACGCGTTTGATGCGTCAGTGTCGCACCACTTGCAGGAATATACATATATATATATAGAGATATGCATATATAGTTATATATATATACAGCGCCAGGGCTCAGCTGGTTGTGTAAGAAGTGCCCACGAGACCATTTAAGCGCAAACCTGCACAGGCTGCAAAAGAACGTGTCGCAATGTCTCTCGCACTTTGGTTTTCCAGAAGCTCCTATCGCCCATCCTTTTGAATCCCCACCCCACTCCACCCAACCGTTTGCTCAACCGGATCATGGACGTGTGCTCTGAAGCTACGCTTGGCGTAAGGCTGGATGGCCTTGACATAGAGGGCAAGGACTTGGAAAGCGCCTGCCGTTGGAAATTGGCTATCAAGCCAGTTTCACTGGGTTTGATCAGGATGTGGCAGAAAGGGATTGCAGGTCAGAATCACCATCGGAGCCATCCCAAATCTGTCGTTACCGAGACGATTGAATAAGATGCCAACTGTCCAAGAGTTGCAAGAAGACTGCATCCACCGGCTCAACTTAGCACTGCTGCGCTTACTGTTGCTCGGAGCAACTTCACTGCCATGAATCAACGAAGAATGCCGACAGGACATGGTCATCACAAAATCTGCCTTTGAGCTTCTCGACCTCCTGGCCGCTCGGCAATGGGAGTGGTCACAGGGTCGCGGAATGTACTCGGGATCCTCCACTGTTGGGCCCGGTACAGTTTTCGGCAAGTTGAAAGCAAAACACCAAGGTCGCAGTGACTGGGATTTTGGGAAGCCCATTGGTGTTGGGTGTCCCGAATCTGCCCGTATGTGTTGCTTGTCTTCACCAGGACTGGCACCTCACCTCCGCCATTTGGCAGGACATCATCCTGAAGCCATTGATGGCCGGGCCGCCCAGCATGCCGGCAAGCGACAATGCTAAGACGTGCAGAACATATTGGTTTTCATTACTGTATGCATGTGGACTGACGGTTTCGTGAGGTGAAGAGGCGGCACGTGTACTGACGACCGCTGACGCCTTGAGGCGGGGTTGATCCAAATGAATAGCCCATTCTTCAACCTTTGATGAAAGAGATGAATCTGAAGATGAAGCTGGATTCAAAGCTCAGTTTGAGCCAACCCCACAGCTGGCTGGTAGTTAGGACGCAAACTGTGCTGGAATGGCGCGGAGTGCGACTGCGCATCGCAGACACAAAAGGCAGAAAAATTGCGAGGTCAGCCGCTGCAGTCTCATTTGGCCCTGTGTGCCTTGGAAGTGTTCGTGGAAATATTATTGCACGACAAGCCCTCTCACACGCGGAGATGCTTTGGCCTCAAGGCTGGAGCAACTGTGGTTCCATTGTCTCTAAGTTGTGCGTAGCGTGCGGGCAACATTGGTCCCCAGGTATGCCGGCGCTGACGTTGCTGAACAGATGCACTCCATGTGGGACTGGCTCGTAAACTTGCCTAGTGGTTAGAGGCTTTGAATTGCGAGTGCAAGATCCCACTGTTCCCCTTAACCTTCAAATCAGTCGAGTGGATCTAAGACCTGATCCGCAACTACCTCGCTGTCATGGCTGACCATTCAAAGGCCAACAGGAGCAGAGCATGTGCCAAATGTTTGTTGAATAACGCTGAGTGTGCTCTACGGCTGTGTTTCGGAGCAATTGCCTTAAGCGCGAAGAAAGATGGAAAGACGAGGGCCATGGCTTTTCAGATGATGCCCCAAGAACATTGTGATCTACAGTACTTGTATGTATTGACAAGCACAGGTCAATGGGGGGGGGGGGGGGCGGGGGCTACTATGTACCTATTGCATTCATACGCGTATGACCGCATGTAAATTATGTAGGTAAAGGGAGGAATAAACATTGTATGGATTACAATGTCTTATTTGCATTCCTGTATGTACTTTATGTATTATATACATAAGATCATAAGGAATGGTTCCTTTTTGTATAAAACACAAAGATGACATTTATTTGTGCTATGAAACATGATATGCTAGTTGTTTGTTGGATGAGAAATGAGCACATTATGCATATATATGTATATATATATATATATATGTATGTATATATGTTGGGCAAAGTAATTGATAATAAAGTTCTGAATATTTGATATTTTGGCATGGAATGAAATTATAAGATGCTGGAGAGTTTATGGAATCAGTTGGTTCGAATTGTGGTATGAAATTGATAGTGCAATGTGTTCTTACATTTATATCTTAGATAAGTCAATATATATGTGTGTGTGCTCGATTGTTTGAATCATATTGTGAAGCTTTGCTTTTTTTCTTCGGGGCTTGTGAGCACGTGAGGATACATCTTGGCGCATGTAGAGTTACCATGCTAGGTCACCCTTGCCTTCATATGGCTCAAAGACAGAGTGTAGGTGACTTTTAATGGCTTCCTGCTGCGCGGGTTCGCACCTGCAGCAGTGCCCCGACCTGTCCTGATGCCATGTCAGAAGAGTCCACACGCGAAACATGCCCTGCACTCCGCCTAGAAAACCCCAAGCGCTTTCGGATCGGCCTTGAGGATGCTTTTGATCCACATCCGCTCTTGGGAATTTTGCTTGCGCGACGCCTCTGTTTGACGACTTGGCAGGGACTTTGCAGATGGCAGAGCGTGGCTTAAATGAACAGGCAAGCCAGTTTGTTTCGCGCAGTGGTTCCTGCTTTGATATTGTTGAGCAACAGTCTTTGGTTTGCCTGTGTACCGACAATCTTGCCGTCCATCTTCCAAGCGAGCTGGGCTGTTGCAGCAGGCTTTGCTCGCAGCTTTGCAGCCCTGCACGCTTCATGTGCACAGGCAGGCAATCTGGATTTACTCCTCCCGTGGGATGCTAAGAGGTCCAAAAACAGCATGTTGCTGCCCGCGCGGTCAAGCAGTGCAATGGCAGACATTGGTTTGGCTACTGGGCATCCTTTCCGCGTGGGCTCTTGGACCTGAGATCTTTGAAAAATCGGCGTGCATCTCATCAGGTCTGTCTGTGCGTAAAGGCAGCTGGCGAGCGCAGCTTGCAGCCGCGCCAGGCTCCGCAATTCACAGTGCATTCCTCCAGCTGCAGTGCTGACGTTCCGTTTTTGATCTCGCCGCTCTACTCGGTGCTCGTCAGAGTGGCACGTTTTCCTTAACAGGAGCAGTTGCTTTCCAACACGCTGTGCCGATCCGAGCATCTTACTTTTTGGGCTGCCCATTGTCCTACATTTGTCAGTCTTTCCGGGCCGGTAAGCAGTGACTCGTCAAAGGCCTCACACTTTGCTCACTCCCCTCATTGCCTCCATCTGTCGGCAAAGCCCGTTGGTTGTTGCCAAACTGCGCCCGATGCGATGGAACAGGGTCTCAGGCCATGCTTTGCCATGTTCCGTACATCGCTGAGCCAAATGCAACAAAACTTCCTGGCCTGTGGTCGGGCATGAGAAGCAGGGCCCTGTTTATTGTCTACTCTTGCCGAGGGGATCGCAGAAAGCATGCAACATTCAGCTTGCTGATGCGAGCTGCCCTCAGCTTGTCCATGTGCCAGGCCTTAGAAACTGAGCAGGGCTGGCCATGGCAAAAGCATGTGCGAGCCTTGCGAGCCGGCCATGCCCAGGCTAGAAAGCTGGTTTGGGGCGCAGACTATTGCCATGGGTCCGCCTCAACGTCAGCATTGGCCAACTTGCACATGTTTGCATCATTGCAAGGGTGTTTTACAACGCTTCATGCCGTGGCATGTTCATTTAAACCGTCCGGCTGACCTTTCTCGTCAGCAGTCCGCTACTTGATCAGGTTGCTCTCAAGGTCATGTTGCCAGTGAGCGTCAGACCCAGTTCGAGATGGCAAGAGTTGAGCTGGAGGTGGTTGCCCTGCTTGATGAACGGAGCATTGGATATCCTGTAAAGGAATCTTGGATGGTGTGCACTGGACTTGCCCTGCACCTACGTGCTCCAGCGCGGACTGGCACAGTGGCTCAGCGTCAGCAAGGCATCATTTTATGTCTCGCTTTTGGGGAAATGAAGGCGTGGCGAGCGCAGCCTGCCACGGGGCCAGGCTCCGCAATTCACATTGCATTACCCCAGCTTCATGCTGATGTTCCGTTTTGATCTCTTCGCCGTTCTACTCTGTGGCTCAAAAACCGTAGCACATGAACAGACCTACGCAAGGCACCTAGCCATACTTGCCACACCTGGAAGGCCGTCTGACGGCCGGATTGCTCCACAAGCCAGCCTGGCAATGCCAGGTCAGAACTTTGAGCGAATGGCCCCAGCATTTGCACAAGCGCCTGCCCCACACCAAACACAAGGAGCATGGCAATCAGCCTTGCCACGATGTCTGCCTGTGCCTCATGCAGCTGCCAGTGAGAAGCGATGCAACCAAACTTGCAGAGTCCAGGTACGCCCGCCTGCCCCAACAAGCATGAACCTTGCAACCATTCAGGCGCATGCTTCTGAATGCTGTTGGACGGGTGAGAGAAACGCGGCACTTGTAGCGTTTGTGGAGCCAAAGCCATCGAATGCGTTTTCGTGTCACCGGGATTCGATTGAGACCCTCGCCCCTGTTGGCACGTGCTGAGGTCGCCAGCGGTAAGTTCGTTTAGACTGCCACTCTGATGAGCCGCGAGCAGCATGTGCCATGACCGAGCATTAGCACACATCAAGCTGCGAGACAGCCTTGGTGCGTTCAGCTTGTCCACTTCCACAGTTCTGGCTTCCGGAGAGGAGGGCTTTAGGAGGCATGCCTTCTAGCTTTGGCTTTGACAATCACAAACAAGACTCCTCGGGCTCAGGCATGAGGGAGAGGCCATCTTCGGAACGCAGGCGTTGGGCAGCAGCATGCTTCCGAGTGCACGCCACACAGCCCCTACTGAGGGGCAGCTCCACTTTTGCCAGGCAGCCAATTTGCAGTTCCGATTGAATTGAGCAGTTGAACTTTTTTAGAAGGCACCACTTCTCGAGCTTTGACGCGCGAGATTTGCAACAGGGCCCCAGCAATCAGACCTGCTGCGGATTCCTTGGCTGCTTGCGGTGTCAGGTTGCCTCTCACAGCTCCTTCGCGGTACTTTGCCTGGATCTTGCCGCGCGTTTGCATGCTTTTGCGACAGTGACGGGGGTCAGTATCTGGGAAGTGCTGCGCTTCTTGATCCAGTTGTGCCCACCCCACGCATTTGAAGCCAAGACAGAATCTTCGAAGAGCCTGGAAGATCTGACATGTTTTGACCCGATTCCAGTGCTCATTTGGAGGCTTCCGCCCGGCACTTGCTCAAGCACTGGACCCTTTGCGTCTCCACCCTGCAAGTATTCATGAAACGCCACACCTCCTGGCTGTGCATTTGTGACCCGTTCTTCGGAGAGCCCTGAACGGGGGTCGCCGTACGGGTTCGGATTTCAATCAGCTTCAGGCAGAGGCAAAACAGCCCAAAACAGCCCGATAAACGCTCATGTGCTGAGAGGTGTGCGCCAATCAAAAAATCAAAACCGCTCGAAATTGCCCGGTAAACACCGCGTTTCGCCAAGGTTGTTGCTGTGATGTTTTCTCGCTACCAGGAGCCGCCATGTCCATTTCTACAATGCACACTGCGCACCGTGACATGGCCGCCGCGCATGCCATACACCGTGGGCAGGAACGCGAAATTACACTTGATTGAAAAGCTCGGCCCGTGACCGACTGGAGTGAAATGCCAAGCTAACTGGCCGGCAAGCCGCCAACCTTTCCTAGCCCCGGCCCGTTCCGCTTTCAAACCCTTCGCTGCACGGCCAAGCCTGAGAGAGAGCGCGTTCACTTTCACCCTTTGCACGTGTGCTATGCAACGATCTCGCCTATTTGGTTTCCCTGCCAGGTTTTTTTGGGCACCAGTGGAACAGCTTTGGCAACGCATGGAGCACAATAGAGAATGATGTGGCCGTTTCAAATTTTGGAAGTGTCCGATGGTAGTGTTAGAGGAAGCTCCGGACTGCGCTTGCATCGGTTGTTTTTCTCCGTTTTTGGTTCGGGAAGACCCTTTTCCTGTTGCCAGACAGGTACATTAGGACGCAGCCAGCCTTTGTGAGTTTCTCTTCAGTCCGGCTCATTCTCCCTCGCAAAACTCCAAATACTGAAAACTACCTGAGCCCGTAGAGGTTTTCGGGGGGGTACAGGGGGCACATAGGGCCTGATAGGGTCCAACTGGGCGCAATAAACAATGCAATGGGGCCCACCAGGTCCCATGCCAGGCAAAGTTGCGCTTCTCGAAGATCAAAAAAATCAGTTCCACTGTCTTAGAAAATGTTTTGCAATTCGCACAATAGGACCAGACAAAGAAAGGTCGGTGAATGCACTGAAACGATCATTTGTTTTAGAGGACGTTGACTCGCAGGGTTAGTGTTGCCACTGGCAACGAGCCCCCGCTGAGCGCATTGCCAGGTGTTCAGAACTGCAGGTTTTGCTTTTGTTCACCTCACTGTGTCCGGCTGAGCTGAGTGACCAACCCAGCCAAGAGCCGGCAGCGCTACGTTGCTTTTTGCTTCTAAGACATCGCTCGCTTGAAGCTGTGCTTTGGCAGGGCCTTCCTTGTTTTGGACGCAACGCAAAGCTCGCCATGCTACGTGGCGGGACCCCAGTAGCGCGTTGCACCTTGCAGGCCTTGTGCCCCGAATCTTCACCTCCTGCTAGCACGTGCCGTGCATTACCCTCGAGCAGTTCTGCAAGCGCCTGGACCTTGAGTGTCCCTATAATGCGAGCAGCTGAGCACATGCAAGGTGTTCAGAAAGCAGGTTTTGTTCTTTTGCGCCTCACGGTATCCAGCTGAGCTGGCTAACCAGCCCAGCCTCTTGGAGAGACGGTGGAAGAAATGTAGCCGGCGGCGTTAGGATGCGTTTTGCTTCTAAGGCAACTCTGCAGCTTGGTCGACGTCGCTTGCAGCTGTCCTGTTGCAGGGCTGTTTTTTGGACACAACGCAAAGCTTGCCATAAGTGGCTGGACCCCAGTAGCGCGCACCCTTTGCCCAGAATCTTCACCTCTTTTGCAACGAGCTTTAGCGCCACAATGCATGCAGCTGAGCACATGGATGGCGTTCAGAAAGGCAGGTTTTGTTCTTGTGCGCCTGACTGTGTCCAGCTGAACTGGCTGACGAACCCAGCCTCGTACAAGAGAAGGAGCAAGAAAAAGGGCAGGCGGCGCCACGTTGCCTTTTACTTCTGAGCAACGCTGCAGCTTGGCCGATGTCGCTTGAAGCTGTGCTATTGCAACTTTGGGCACATGGTCCATGCAACATATGCTACGCATGCTCGCGTTGTTGGCCAACATGCGGCTGTCAAGCAGGGCATGTGTAGTAGATGTGGGGCTTGTAGCGCAAAGAGAGTCGATGAAAGAAATTATAGACGTTTGACCAGGATCATCTATGCTTTGTTGCTCGTTTGGACTATCCCCAACTGCAACTGGCAACGACCACACAGCTGGAACCAGACTTCGGTGTTAGCCACAAGCTAGTTTCCTTGTTTTTCTGTCGTTGTTCCAGATGAGCTGGTGTGAGCGTGTGAGTGCAACAACGGTGGTGCACGTGTTCTTGTGCGCCGTCCTGTGCCCAGCGAACTGGCAGAACCCAACTTTTACAAGACAGCAGGCGGCGCTACTTTACTTCTTGGACTGCTGGTGATCGTTGGCACCACTCCCTGGGAGCTTGGTGGCAACCTTGAAGCCGCTCAACATGACCATATGTGTTCATCATTGCTTATCAATGGCACTGAGTGCTTCTTTGCGCTCGCTGCAGTCCAGCTGGATCGAGGGGAATGTTAGATATGAGGAGCTCTCCTCAACATGTTGTGGATGGAGGGTTGTTGCTACTGGTATGAGCATTTCATGTCGCTGCTATATGAGGGCATTGCATGTGGCAATCTCGTTCCAAAATGCAACTTTGGGCCTCAAGTTCTATCAACACAAAAAAGGGAAAGGCGGAGGCATGCTGTCACTGCATGCGGCATACATATCAATGAAGCTTGCAGCAGCTGTCAAAAAGTCGGAAAAATGTGTGTTGTACGAATGATTTTGTATATTCAAACATTCTGCCAAGTTGGGTCGTGAAATTCCAAGAGCAGCAAGAGCGAGTGAAAGCAACGAGCGAAAGGTGAATGGGAGGAGTGAGCGAAGAGGAAGGACGAGTATCACCTTCCCCCTTTCCCCACCATGTAACGGTTGCACGGGAAAGGGACTAACCTTCCTCTCTCTCGCGGCTTCATGGAAATCCTTTAGAGCAAGGGATTGAAGTGAGTGAGCGGGAATGAGAGCATGGGAAGCGTCCCAGTCCTTTGTCTATCCTTTGCTCCGGACGAGCTTCCTAATCACTTACCCATCCAATATAATCTCAGCTTGTTTAACGGATCAAGATGCGGGACGAGCGGGGGAAAGAAATGAAATTCCCGAGAATTCTTGATGAGAAAATATGTATATTAAAGAGGGGCTGGAAGACCCAGAGAAAGCATTGAAAGATAGGAAAATAGATTTATAGAAATCCATAAAGAATTCTAAATTATAGAAAAATTATAGAATAATATCTCTGTTTCTTATTGGTTTTTATTTATTTCTTGATTTTTAATAGATTGTTTTTTTTGGAAAGATATTGAGGGTTTTGGAAGGATTTATACAGAGATTTTAAGCAGGTTTATGGGTGGAGAAGTTGGTGTTTTTTTAAGGTAATAAAATAAGAATGGGGGGGAATTGGGAAACATATGATCTTGAATTGAATTCGGTTTATTTGTTATAATTAATTTGGAATTAATATATTGATATTAGATTTATATTTATATAATATTATTATTATGATAATGGGTATAATAATGTAATTATGAGTATGTTGAATAATACATTATATTTTGTAATATTGAAGAATTAAATATTATATATATAGATATGGTATAAATGTGTTTAAGAAAAATAAAATAATGAACAATTGAATTTGAATATAATAGGAAAAAATATATTAATTTAAAGAATTTTTTGGTTTTTTGTTTAAAAAGACTAATTAAGGAGATATATATTTGTTATATTGTTTTTTTTGAAATGAATTGGTTTGTTATTTAAATTATATAAATTTTTATTAATACTATATTGGAAATATTAGATGTTGTGTTAGTAGGTATTTATTAGCTTGAATTTTGGGGTATATGTTTTTGTTGGAGACCAAAATTAATAAATTATTTGCATGTTTTTAGGTTGTAATCTAAGTTAGATTATATAATTATATATTTATTTTTGTTTTATTATTTGTTTATTATATATTTTGTTATTTACTTAAAAACATATATAATAATTTTACAACTTCGAGATAGCTTATTTGATAGCAATTAAGAAGTGTTGCTGTTAGTTATTTGTATATCTTTTTGTTAAATTTATTGTGTTACGATGGTTATGTATATATATAGCCCGAATGATATGGATTTTTATGGACATTACAAAGCTGGGAGTTAATATTTTAATAACTAGTTTTATATTTAATATAATATACTATAAAATATAATATTTAGAAATATTAAATATATATTATATATATAATTTTTTAATGAATTTTATGTTAAATATTTTTTTTTCTATTAACATAATATCTTTTATGATCAATTAGGGCCTTTTTGGAGTTAAAATATAAAAAAAAAAAGATTCCTAATTTTATCAATTTTCATTTTCTATTTATGTATATTCGGAAATCTAGATATATATCCTCTAGATTTTAGAATTCTGTCCAGATAAATAATTTCAAAAACATCACCAATATCAAAAATAATTTATTTATTATCAATTATAAATATAAATTTATATATTATATATCATAAAATAAAACAATTTTTTTTACGAACCTTCTCCTCATTTTATGGACCTTCTCCAAACCTTCTCCATATTTAAAAATTCTTCCAATCTCCAAAAATTCATTTATTTTATTTTTATGTTTTGTTAAAATATTTTATCTTTAGTTTTTCTTAAATATATTTTTGTTTTTCCTTTTACATTATAAAATTATTAAAAAATAAAATAAAATAATCAAAAATTATATAAATATATATACAAATTAAAATATAATTTTATATATATAATTATTAAAATCAAAAAAATAAAATAAAATAAATGTCAATTATTTCCAATTCCAACATAAAACCATATATTTCATAATTTGTATTTTCCTATATTTTATTATTTTTATTTTTTTATAAATTAAAATTAATTTCTATTAAAATAATATATTTATAAAATTAAATATTTTTTATAATAAATATTAAAATCATTAAATATATGGTTTTTGGTAAATATAATATTTTTATAAAATTAGCTACAATTTTAATAACAAAATATTTTGTTTTTCCAGAATTAAATTAAAATTATTATATTTAAATATACATATAATTATTTTGTTTTTTTAGAAATCAATTTAATATAAGTTCCTATAAAATCAAAGTTATTATTCATCAGTGTCTGTCGATTTGATGGCAAACGACATGATCTTCTTCAAACCGGCTGGAAGTTCTACGCCTTGAAGGGGCTGTCCAGTCAATGATGTAACAGGGGCACCCGGCGCAAGTCGAACCTTAGTCAACCCCCAATCTCGCCCGAGAACTCCATGGCACCGAATCCTTTTGGCTGGTGATGCAGCCCAACTCGTTGCAGATCTCTGCTTCAGCCATGCGGAAATCTCGGAATGTCATGGAAGGCCTCTGTCATGGCTCCGATCCAAGTGCCACGGTCTTGCTGCGCTGAGCGTTGAGCCGATGTGTTGGACGAACAGGCTGGCGCTCGCACGCATGGAATAATCTGATGTTCTCCAAGGATCCAGGTGCTTGACGCAATCCTGCAACTGCCTCTCGAAACCAATGGGATGGCTCGTTGCACAGTGGAAACTGGCTATCCATTCGCATCCCTCACCAAATGCTCCCACTCTCATCCAGCTCCCGCAGCGAGATCCCCTTGTCCTTGGCTGGTTCACCATGGCACTGCGCAATCATCCCAAAAACAGCACAACTAGGCTCGGCGCTGCCCAAATAGCTTCTTGGCAAGACCAGCTAATTTCAGCCAAAACGCCACGCATCTGGCTGCAAACCTGACCTCATCCTCAATCGCAGCCTGGAATGCTCTCATCATTGCTGACGTCCCGGCCCTTACGAAGAAGCGTCCCCGCTTCTCCTGAGGGCAAAGAAAAACAACCCCACCCCAATCACGGCCACTCAGTTGCAGACTGAAGCGCAGGGTACAGGAAACTACCACTTCCCCTCACCGAATCTGATAGCGCCGATCTTTCAACAAGCCATCTCGGTCATAGCTGGCCCGCCTTGGCCTGCGAAAGGTCCGGCTGAACCTCTAGAAAGGTCAGTTGCGACCTCAACTTGGCCACCTCCAGCTTGGCCTCGGCACCAAAGGTTCGGGGGGAAGCAACACTCCGATCTTCCACCAGGTTCGGGTCGTGGTTCATGGCTCCGCCCCCTTGCTTGGCCCTTTTCCATAGATGTTGAGAGATGAGGCCATTCCTGGTCAGTGCAAGTCTTAGCCGGGACTCTTTTCCGGGAGAATCTTGGGCTGGCTTGCCCGCAAAGATCCGAAGGGATCTTAAGGACCTGCTGTTGGCCACTGAAACATGGTTTTCGATGCACGCGCACCACAAGAGCTCTGTCACGACTGTACTCAGGATCTGGCCAGCTCATCAGCTTGCACCACGCGGTGCAGCATCGAGTCTGCGGTGTTGCCGCCGTGCATGATGTGCAGGCAAATCCCCTGCGAATCAATGGAAGCCACGAGAAGTTGTCGGGGGGAAGGGTCCCAAAACACGGCTGCCACTGGGCTTTCCCGTCCTCCCTTGAGCCTTGAGGTACATTCCCAAGGATTCGCAACGCCTGGGTGTGTGTTTGTGTGTGTGTGTGTTCTTTTTGTGGGTGCCCTTTTTGTTGGTGTTGTAAAGGAAACCGAAAGGAAAACCAGCACTTGTGGGTGTCCTCTAAAGAAAAACGCACCCGCACACTTGGGCCCATTCTCTTCCCTGCCTCCGTGTCACGCTTCAGGCCCACCTTCTCCCGGCTCCGAAGCTCCCGCATGAAGGCGATGTCCTCGCACATGTTGCGGTCGGGGAAGGGGTGCTGCAGCGCCGCCGCCCGCAAGTACACCTGCGGCTTCTCTGTGTTTGTGGGCCACCACTATCCAAAACTTCCAAAACGACCAGCAAAATAATATAATCTTGTTTGTGTCTTGCTGTTTCGCTTGGGATTCCAGTCTTTGCGGGGGCGGGGGCTGCTTCTGCAACCCTTGGAAAAAGGTCTGACAAGAGAAAACTCCCACCCATTCACACAAAAGAAAGTGAAAGCCTGGCTGTGGAGGAAGGCACTGTTCAAGGGCTGGCTAGAAACTTAGAGATGTCTTACTGGCACAAAGCAGAATGGCAGAACTGGCTGCAGGCAACGGCATTGTTTGTCCCCTCCAAAACAGGCTATGCCAATGATGTGCACTGCGCTTTTATCAGACCAACAACACGGAAAACAAAATGTGTGTCTTGGTTTGCCAGGTGTCGCTGCTCATGGTGACAAACTCGCCTGGAATTCAGACATGGTTTGTGAATATTGCCATTGGTCAAATGGGCAGGGGTGAAATGGTCCAACCTGTTGAAAGATGCCCCCTTTTTTCGAAGCAGAAAGGAAATCGTCGCTAGTTGAAGAAGTCGTTCCTAGGATCCTGTCTCATTTCGCCTCCGGCCGAATCTGTTCCGCCAAGAAGAACAACAGGCCCCGCTATTTGTCCACGTTCAAAGTCACCCCCACTAGATTTCAAATCCTTTCATATAAACAGAACTCACACCCCATTTAAAACCAGAAACCAAAAATGGCCCAACGATCGCTGTCGCGTGGCATAGGAGAAGCCGTAGCCATACACCGCCGAGTCCACGGCATCTGCCCGCAGCGCCCACAGCTCAGCGCTGGCACTCAGCGGGGCCTTGCTCGGGTTCCGACAGAGGTCTAGCTCGTGCATCACCTGTCACGAAACCCAACTGGAGCTCCCATACGCATGTGTCTCTTTTTGGGGTCCGACCCTCAAAGACGGCTTCGGCTTTCCTTTTGGTTTCCCTTTACACCAAAAGAGGGTACCCTGAAGGTGAGGGTTCATGTCTCTGGGAGAATGTGTAAGCATCTGGTGAAGAAGCATCTTGCCAGATTCTTGCAGCACAAGGTGAACATGTTAGAACATCGCATTCGCTCGCTTGGTCCTGCCCTGCAAAACTCCTGTGGTCGCGTAAAGCACAGCTCAGGTTCAGCTGTTGCTTCACGCAATTACATGTTGCCACAAGGTTGTGTGCTGACGGAAGACAGTACTAGCAGCACCGGTCAGGCTACTTTGATGCCGTTTGGTCTGCAATTGGATCTGCTAGTTCACCGAGGTTCGTATTTGCAGCTAAAGCAAAGTGTGCACTTGTTCTTGCCTAGAAGCTGACACCCCAACCTCTGGCCGCAGAAAGCAGCCCCACACAAAAAATTGTACAGGCAGCTGGAAATAAGCTCCAAGTCGGCCTTTGAAATGGTTTGTCTTCCCATCTGTGGAATCCTGGAACAGTCCGATTTTGGGATGCCTTTTGGCTTCCCTTTCCACCAAGCTTTATTTTTGAAAAAAGGTCCCTTGGAGAAAAAGAACCGAGCCCAATGTCAGCTCCCATTGCTGACTCGCTCTCACGCCTCGGGCTCCACGTAGCCGCAGCGGCGGAGGCGGAGGTCGAAGTCGTACCTTTTGGGGATCCGGACCATTTTCCCTTTAAAGGAACCGGGTCCCGGTCAGGTTCCATGTGAATTGGTGGGAGGATGCCTAAAAGGGAGAACATCTTGAAACATGGTCAATGATAGCGTGGCAAGCAGTTGAGAGCCTGCAAGTGTGGCCAACCATGATTATTGTGTTGGGTCAGGGAGTCTGCTGCAAAAGCGGGTGACTGGAAACTGGAGGTAAATGGGTTTCGGAATCATGAAGCACCCTACAGGCAATCCGAAAACGTCTGTTCAATTTTTTTTGCGCAGGGGCACCAAGCACTGAGAGTCAGGGCTGCCAGCTTCCGGCTTTCCAGCTCGGAGACCATGGTCTCGATGTAGCTGGGCCCATAGACCTTCAAGAGGAAGATATGTCAAGTCTGATGTGTCATGGTTTACCAAAAAACGTTTTATTCAGCACCCCTGCAACATGAGCAACAAAAGAATTTTGAGCCAACGAGGCATCGTCATCATCAAAGTTCACCACGACATCGCCGGAGGCCAAGTAGATGCCGAGGTTCCGCTTGCAGCCGATGCTGAAGTCCTCATCCAGCGACACGTGCACCACGTTCGCATGCGCGTGAGCGAGGTTACTGAGGAACTTGGAGGGCTTGGAGGCCTCGCAGTCCAAAAAGGAGTCTGTCTGAAATCATAAATGGTTGCGGGTCAAAACCAATGGTACCATTTTGGGGTAGGTGCACCACCCATTTTAGTCTATTTTAGTGGGGATTGGGATGTTCACTGGGGGTACGATTTTGATTTTGGCCCATGGCCAAATGACAACAAGGCACCTGGCGCGGCGCACGGGCCTCAAAAGGAGAGGCCCTAGCATTTGGCCGAGTTCACAGCTCATGCGGGACACTGAGGTTTCACCGAGGTTTGCCAATCTTCTTGAGAAAATGCCATCCCTGTGCGTGCCTTCAGCCAGACTCTGTATCCCAGCCATCTGCTACAGTAAGTCCGGCTCCAACCGTCTGACCTGCCTCTATAAGTACAAGTGTAAAAGTCAAACCCGCGCCTTCCCGGTTTCGATCACCACGAGCTCTTTCTCCTCCCACGTCTGAGCCGCGAAACAGGTCCACAGCTGCTGATGGAACCTGCAGCATGCGGGCAAGCCCGGGCAAGCTTCTGAACCGCAAGAAACGCCTGCAGAACCTACACACAAACACAACAACAGAGATAGAGAGAAAGGACCCCGCAGAACGAAGAGACGCAAACCCAGAGGCGCAAAGGCACAGAGACAGAGAGACACAGGCGCACACTCTAAACGCAGATGCCTCTGGGGAGGCGACGCTGATGCACAAAAGCGCCAAATGCGATAGCGAGCAACATGCTGAGGATGCCACAGCACAAATCAGCTGATTGGTTGCTTGGTTGCTTGCTCGCGCGCTCGCTTACTTGCTTGCTCTGGGAGCACTAGCAATCAGGGGTCCAGTCATTCAGCTATTGCAGATGCACAGAGCTTGATGCAAATGTGAGTGCGCTGGCTTATGGAGCTGGGCAGAAGACGGGTGCCTGCGCTGTGGAAGGTGTTGCAAGTGTTGCAGCCCATTGTTTTTTGTTTAAAACACACTCAAAAAGCATCCCAACCAACAAGCCCCCTCTGGCAAGCCAGGGCAGTGCTAACGTCCAGTTTCCCCCGGCGAGCCGCCCTGCGCGGCGCTGCGAGGTGGGCGTCACCACAGACACGCGGAGCCGACCCCTGGCCACCGGCGCTCGCCGCAACGCCTGCAGCACCGAGGGGTCCTTGGGCAGCGGTTTGCGATGGCGAGAAGCGAGAAGCGAGAAGCGAGCGGTTTGAGTCGCCCCGTTCAAAAAGAATCAGGGGAATCAGGCGAATCAGGGACTGGTGTTTCTAGGGTCTGGTGGTGTTTCTCCTCCCTCACCTTGAAAAGAGACATAGGAGAAGAAAAGGTCTGGCAATATGCGAGTCTTAGATGCCGATGTCTCTCACTCAAGAACCCTCACTTTTGGAACTATAGTCCAAATGTTGTTACACAGCGCCAGTTTTGCAAAGTTCGGTATCCTTGATCACACAGGGCAGCTTGCATTTGGTAGACGTACACGGAGTACAATGTCTGGCTGCGGACTGGACATCTAAGGAGTCTGCTTCAATACAAGATCTCCCATTTGTTCTCACGAAGGCTCATCCAAAAGTCCATTCTCTTCAGACGAAGAATGTGTATGATCAAAGAAATGTGTGCGCGCATGCACGGACCTGTCGAATCCAAGATACGTTCCAAGACATGGACGCGCGCGCACACACACACACACACACGGCAATCCCTTTCACACAATGCGAAGGCAAAACTATCAATTCTTCCTCGCGAAACGACCCAAAAGAAAACGAGCAAAAACTGAGCCCCGCCCGCAAAGCAGCACCATTGCCAACTTGGCTCTGACTGTACAATGTCTCTGAAATTGGCCACTTCCTGAAGGGGACAACCAAGGGATACGGAAGGCATCTTGATATCCTGCGCGTACGAAAGATCTGCTGGGCAAGCTGCCCACTTGCCCTGGCTCTGAAAAAAGAGCGCCCGCTCCATGGTGTTCCATGCGGACGTCTGCTGCTTCCTTGGCTGCAGGCATCTTGAGGCCAGAATTGATGTCTACACGCATGCTTTAGCTGATCCGTCCCAGACAGGCAAACAACAAACCATTCTTTAGGGTTTAGTCAGACTTTCTCCCCAGAAAAGGGACGCCAACAACAGCCGGATGCAGTACCTGGTACCCTTTTAGGCTCGAGTGCAGCTGCTGAGGTATGTTTCCCGAACTTCAACGTGGGCCGCGCGAACGCTTCGAGAGTGCCGGCATGTTCAACGTGTAATCGTGCCGGCTGAGCATGGCTGAGCACGGCTGAGCGCGGCTGAGCACGGCTGAGCACGGCTGAGCGCGGTTGAGCACGGCTGAGCACGGCCGAGCAGGTTTGGTTGGTTCTGTCTCGGGGCGTCTGGATGGGTGTCCGGGAGGGTTGGCCTGGTCCTGTTTTGTGAGGCGCGAAATGCCGACCTTTCGCACCTCACAAAATCATTGGGACATCAGGCTTGGGTCTTGCGGTCGGGATGGTCCAGCAGGTCGGCACAATCCACCCCCCCACCCCCCTCGCGGTTTCCAGATTCACGGACCAAACGGTTACGTCCTCGACGTCCTCCAGGTTCTAAGCCGAGCCTCGAACCTCTCAAATCTTTGAAGGTGAAGTGCGCGGCCCGGAAGCAGCACTCCTCTTTCGTCTTCGGCTCGGTCGCCTGCCCCAAACGCTTTGCTGTGCGCGGAGCTTCCAAGATCTTGGGGTCAGTGCTCCGAGCTGGTTTGGGGTCAGTGGCCCATGTGCCTCGAGGGTGGCTGAGGAAAGCTTGCGAGACCTGTCAGAACTGGCCTTCCGGCTTGAGCCATCTCCTCTACAACCAAGCGCCAGGGAGCATGAGCCCTTGCATTGAAACAAGGCGGCCAAATGAGGAGCTCTTGTTCATGGTCAAAAGCCTTTCCTTGGTGCCCAAACCTCCAAGCACATACTCGACATCAACATGTCCTCCCGTTGCAAAGAGGCCATTGTGATATTACTACGACATTACGAGGCCAAACATGTTGCCTGTTCTTCTAGAACAACATGGCCGTTAGGATGGCGTGCTCTCAAACATTGACTGCAGAGATATGCCGGTTCCATCTCAGCATGGTCTATGTTCAATGCCAAACGCACATTCTAAGCGATGGGCTTCTACATTAGGCACAGTTCAAAGTTAAATGACGTTTGCCTCGACGCTATTAACTTGGAAAGTTTAGGCTCACCACTTGGCTCGCCATGCCTCATTTAAGGTTTAGCCAACTTTTGCACACACGGAGAAAGATGTGCTGCCCCACATGACGTAACCCCCTTGGTGAGGCAAACTTTGACTTGATGACCAGCAAACAGAATCATCCCAGCAAACAAAACGGCAGTTTGCATTAGCAAAAACGCCCATTTCTGATTGCCCGGTCACTCCATGAAGCTGGATGCTGATGAAGTTGTCCCGACGAACGCCAGAACACGAATTTGCATGACCCTCGTCATCTGGAAGAGCGCAAGAAGCAGCTAGCCACTGGCATTGCGCGCCAAAACACAATAAGAAGAAACTCAATACAAGCAAAACTGTCCATCAAGTGGAACACAAAAACAAGCATTTACGTGGCACACGGACATATCAAGCCCGCCCATCCTCGTGGGACTCCTCAACAAGCAGCGCAGTGTCTTTGACTCGGACGCTCACCTTGGTGCCGCTGCCTTTGCTTTTCTGTGGCTAGCACTAAAGCGGCCCGGGAGATAACGCCTCCCGGGCAAAGACTTGGAATCAATGGCAGTCCCACTGCGCCATCCATGACCACAAAGCGCTTCTAGCAAAGAAGCAAAAAACCAACTTCAACAAACAAGACAAAGACCACAATCCAATATGCGCACCTAAAGAAACCTTTCAGCATTGGATGCAAACTCCAACTGGTACTATGAAGCCAAGCGGCGAGCCGCGAAAACATAATGGAGTTCAGGGTTTAGGGTTTAGGCATTTGATTTACTGTTGACTGCCCGGGCGCAGCTGAGGAAACAACCTGCTGAGTACAGACCTCTACTTCCACACGCGGCAGCACAAGATTATTCACGCAAATACACACAAAACCAAACGAACAAACGCAACAACTATACAAACAAACAAACAAGAAGCAAGCAAGCAAGCAAGCAAGCAAGCAAGCCAACAAACAAACAAACAAACCAAGAAACAAAGACACAAAGACACAAAGAAGCAAGCAAAGAAGCAAAGAAGCAAAGAAGCAACTTCAACAAACAAGACAAAGAACACCAAATACGCGCACCTACAAAGCTCAACAAACGCAAAATGAAACGAAACCTGACTTGACACTCGCTTCGCCGGAGCGCCCAGCCCCTGGAAGGCCCGTGGCCCTGCAGCAGCCGAAACTGGAGCCGTGAGTTCTGGCGCGAAAGCTCTTGCACCAAGGCCCCGCAGCTCAGGCGCTCCTTCAAGCAAACCAAGCCGTCTCACCAACATGATGCTTGAATGCTGAGTGTGTATACATATATATATATATAGATACATACATACAGTACATTACATTACATTACATTACATTAAAGTACATTACATTACATTACATTACATTAAATTACATTAAATTACATTACATTACATTACATTACATTAAATTACATTACATTACATTAAATTACATTACATTACATTAAAGTACATTACATTACATTACATTACATTACATTACATTAAATTACATTACATTAAATTACATTACATTACATTAAATTACATTACATTACATTCCATTACATTACATTACATTACATTACATTACATTAAATTACATTACATTCCATTACAGTACATTACATTACATTAAATTACATTAAATTACATTACATTAAATTACATTACATTACATTACATTCCATTACATTACATTACAGTAAATTACATTACATTACATTACATTACATTACATTACATTACATTCCATTACATTACATTACATTACATTAAATTACATTACATTACATTACATTACATTACAGTAAATTACATTACATTACATTACATTACATTACATTACATTAAATTACATTACATTAAATTAAATTACATTACATTACATTACATTACATTATATTCCATTACATTACATTACATTCCATTACATTACATTACATTATTAGATTACATTACATTAAATGAAATTACATTACATTAAATTACATTACATTACATTACATTCCATTACATTACATTACATTACATTACATTAAATTACATTACATTAAATTAAATTACATTACATTAAATTACATTACATTACATTACATTCCATTACATTACATTCCATTACATTACATTACATTACATTACATTAAATTACATTACATTAAATTACATTACATTACATTAAATTACATTACATTACATTACATTACATTACATTACAGTACATTACATTACATTAAATTACATTACATTACATTAAATTACATTACATTCCATTACATTACATTCCATTACATTACATTACATTACATTGCATTACATTACATTACATTACATTAAATTACATTACATTACAATAAAAAAAAAAAAAAACATTACATTAAATTACATTAGATTACATTACATTACATTACATTACATTCCATTACATTACATTACATTACATTAAATTACATTAAATTACATTACATGAAATTAAATTACATTACATTACATTACATTACATTACATTACATTCCATTACATTCCATTACATTCCATTACATTACATTACATTACATTACATTACATTAAATTACATTACATTAAATTACATTACATTAAATCAAATTACATTACATTAAATTACATTACATTACATTACATTACATTACATTACATTACATTACATTACATTACATTATTAGATTACATTACATTAAATGACATTACATTACATTAAATTACATTACATTACATTACATTACATTACATTACATTAAATTACATTACATTAAATTAAATTACATTACATTAAATTACATTACATTAAATTACATTACATTAAATTACATTACATTACATTACATTCCATTACATTACATTACATTACATTACATTAAATTACATTACATTACATTACATTACATTACATTATTGGATTACATTACATTAAATGACATTACATTACATTAAATTACATTACATTACATTACATTACATTACATTAAATTACATTACATTAAATTTAATTACATTACATTAAATTACATTACATTAAATTACCTTACATTAAATTACATTACATTACATTACATTCCATTACATTACATTACATTACATTACATTAAATTACATTACATTACATTAAATTACATTACATTAAATTACATTACATTACATTACATTCCATTACATTACATTACATTACATTACATTACATTATACTACATTAAATTACATTACATTACATTACATTAAATTACATTACATTACATTAAATTACATTACATTACATTAAATTACATTACATTACATTCCATTACATTACATTACATTCCATTACATTACATTACATTACATTAAAATTACATTACATTACATTACATTACATTACATTACATTACATTAAATTATACTACATTAAATTACATTACATTACATTACATTAAATTACATTACATTACATTACATTAAATTACATTACATTACATTAAATTACATTACATTACATTACATTAAATTACATTACATTACATTAAATTACATTACCTTCCATTACATTACATTACATTACATTAAATTAAATTACATTACATTAAATTACAGTACATTACATTACATTTATTTTTTCATTACATTACATTCCATTACATTGCATTACATTACATTAAATTACATTAAATTACATTACATTAAATTAAATTACATTACATTACATTACATTCCATTACATTACATTACATTTCATTACATTACATTACATTACTTTAAATTACATTACATTACATTACATTGCAAAACATTACATCACATTACATTACCTTACATTAAATTACATTACATTACATTACATTACATTACATTACCTTCCATTACATTACATTACAATACATTAAATTAAATTACATTACATTAAATTGCATTACATTACATTACATTACATTCCATTACAGTACATTACATTCCATTACATTACATTACATTGTATTAAATTACATTACATTACATTAAATTACATTACATTCCATTACATTACATTACATTACATTACATTACATTAAATTACATTACAGTACATTACATTCCATTACATTACATTACATTCCATTACATTACATTACATTACATTACACTACATTACATTAAATTACATTAAATTACATTACATTACATTACATTCCATTACATTACATTACATTACATTACATTACATTAAATTACATTACATTAAATTAAATTACATTACATTACATTACATTACATTACATTACATTCCATTCCATTACATTACATTACATTCCATTCCATTACATTACATTACATTAAATTACATTACATTAAATTAAATTACATTACATTAAATTACATTACATTACAGTACATTCCATTACATTACATTACATTCCATTCCATTACATTACATTACAGTACATTCCATTACATTACATTACATTACATTACATTACATTAAATTACATTACATTAAATTAAATTACATTGCATTAAATTACATTACATTACAGTACATTCCATTACATTACATTACATTCCATTACATTGCATTACATTACACTACATAAAATTACATTGCATTACATTACATTCCATTACATTACATTACATTCCATTACATTACATTACATTACATTACATTAAATTACATTACATTACATTAAATTACATTACATTAAATTGAATTACATTACATTAAATTACATTACATTACACTACATTCCACTACATTACATTACATTACATTACATTAAATTACATTGTATTAAATTATATTACATTACATTCCATTCCAATACATTACATTCCATTACATTACATTACATTACATTACATTAAATTACATTACAGTACATTACATTCCATTACATTACATTACATTCCATTACATTACATTACATTACATTACACTACATTACATTAAATTACATTACATTACCCTAAATTAAATTACATTACATTTAATTAAATTACATTACATTACATTAAATTACATTACATTACATTACATTAAATTACATTACATTACATTACATTCCATTACATTACATTACATTTCATTACATTACCATACATTACATTACATTACATTACATTAAATTACATTACATTACATTACATTAAATTACATTACATTAAATTAAATTACATTACATTGAATTACATTACATTACATTACATTCCATTACATTACATTACATTACATTAAATTACATTACATTAAATTAAATTACATTACATTAAATTACATTAGATTAAAATACATTACATTACATTATACTACATTATTTTACATTACATTACATTAAATTACATTACATTACATTACATTACATTACATTACATTAAATTAAATTACATTACATTAAATTGCATTACATTACATTACATTCCATTACATTACATTACATTCCATTACATTACATTCCATTACATTACATTACATTACATTACATTAAATTACATTACATTACATTAAATTACATTACATAAAAATTAAAGTACATTACATTAAATTACATTACATTAAATTAAATTACATTACATTAAATTACATTACATTACATTACATTACATTATACTACATTAAATTACATTACATTACATTACATTAAATTACATTACATTACATTACATTGCATTACATTGCATTACATTAATTTACATTACATTACATTCAATTAAATTACATTACATTACATTACATTGCATTACATTGCATTACATTAATTTACATTACATTACATTCAATTAAATTACATTACATTACATTCCATTCCATTACATTACATTACATTACATTACATTACATTATACTACATTAAATTACATTACATTACATTACATTAAATTACATTACATTACATTAAATTACATTACATTAAATTAAATTTCATTACATTAAATTACATTACATTACATTACATTACATTGCATTACATTACATTACATTAAATTACATTACATTACATTAAATTACATTACATTACATACATACATACATACATACATACATACATACATTACATACATGCATACATACATTACATTACATTACATTACATTACATTACATTACATTACATTACATTACATTACATTACATTACATTACATTACATTACATTACATTACATTAATACATACATACATACATACATACATACATACATACATTCATACACTACATGCATACATACATTACATACATACGTACATACATTACATTACATTACATTACATCACATTACATTA